GACGCACCCGGTCAGCGAGCATTTAGGGGTTCATATTTCCTAAGTCCGGCTCCAGATGCTCTTAGTTCTTTGAAAATGTATGCAAGGGAAAATGGACAAATCTTCCGCAGCCCACTACAAAATGCAAAAGAAGAAGAAAAGACGCCTCCACATGGTGGACACCATCGCCTTGCTACACCAACCTCCGTTATTATAATCCCAGGTAGTTTTTTTTTTTTTGCGGGAAATAATCCCAGGTAGTTTAACCCCGCTATCATCCGTAGTACCTGGGAAGAGACACCCTCCGATAGGAGGAACATGCTTTGATTAAATTAAGATATGCACATATGGGGAACCTATCCAAAGGAAGATCAGCATAGGGGGGAGAAGAATCTAGGCTGGCAAATGCATCATGCAACTAAGCTTAGATTAGATTATTTGCTAGGGTTTGCCATCACATGAACCCCAACAACCCAGCAGCCAAATCTTTCAAGACCTTGCATGCCCATCACCATCACAAGATAAAGCATGATCCTCAGGAGCACCTGTATGATGAGTTCCCCTTAAAGAGGCATCACTAAATCTGACACAACAATATATTGGATCATTTTCGACGGGAAGAGTCCGGGGTGTTTATTAAGTCCATAATGATCCGCAAGATGGATTTATAATGTTTGAGGAAATTAACATAATGGTCATTTAAGGAAAATACATGCCCATTTAGCCTCCACACGTCGACGCCGAGTGCCTGAGTTTCCTTCCTGACTCTACAATTGACTGAAAGTAGCCTAGTGTTGTACTGTTTTGGTAGCACGCTAAGTTTACGGCAGGAGAGAGTGAGACAACTCTACCCATAGGAAAAGAACACTTCAGAAAAGAACACATAATAAGTTCATATGATCATCATTTCAATCTTCTCGGTTTAGTTTATTAAGTTGTTTTGACTACATATATACACCATTCGTTTCAATATTAAGTGTCGCTGATTTAGTACAAAATTATATTAAATCAGTGACACTTAATTTGGAACGGAGGGAGTAGCATCCTTGCTTTGGTGCTAATGTTTAGGCAAGGCAAAAAATGGGCTACAATTTACGTTTCCAATCTCTCAAAACTTGCTAAATGTTTTTTTTTTGCAAGAAAAATTCTGATTTATTTATCTTCAATCATGGCAGTACAGCGAATACCAGAAATAATAGAAATTACACCCAGATCCGTAGACCACCTAGCGACAACTACAAGCACTGAAGCGAGTCGAAGGCACGCCGCCGTCATCGCCCCTCCATCACCGGAGTTGGGCACAACTTGTTGTAGTAGACAGTCGAAAAGTCGCCGTGTTAAGGCCCCGTAGGACTAGCGCACTTGAACAGCAACCGCCGCAGATAAAGAATAACGTAGATCAGAAGGATCCAACCCCAAGACACACGAAACGAACAACGAAGAGATCCGAGCAAATCCACCAAAGGTAGATTCGCCGGAGACACACCTCCACATGCCTACCAACGGTGCTAGACGCACCGCCGAAACGGGGGCTAGGCGGGGAGACCTTTATTCCATCTTCACAGAGCCGCCGCCGTCTCGTCTTCCTGAGCAGGACACAAGCCCTAGCAAAACTGAAAGAAACGACTAGAAATGGAGCCCTCCCGCCGGCCCTTGCCGAGATCCACCGCGCTCCCATGGCTCTAGGGCCACCGGATAAGAGGCGGACCTGCAGCGACGTCGACGGGAGGCAGAAACCCTGGCTTTTTTGCGTTTCTTTTTGCTTGTAGTTGTAAGACTTTGTTAGCGTACTAATTTGTTGGGTACCCAATTTTTGGCTACCAATCAAGCATATACTCGTTATAAATTTATTTCCCATAAAAAGTAAGGTTATAATTTTAACAACTCGAACTATGCCAATAGCTCTACGAGCCTCAACCATACAAACCCCTCGTCTCATTTGCTCCAACGAAAATCCAGCCACGGTCTTGCACTCACATGCTTCCATATGACATCTCTTCCAATGTGTCAATCGAAATCACCC